GGGGTAAATGTATGCGTTCTTAACCTATGGTGATGTCTATGCAGGTGCTTGTTTTTGAACGCACCTCAGTGCGCAGACACGTAGCGAGCACATGCATAGACATCATCACCATAGCTTAAGAACGCACCTCAGTGCGCAGACACGTAGGGATTGGCCGAAGGCACCTCAGCGCTGCGCTACTTTAATTCAATTCATCGAAATGCAGTTCCTCTGCTTCTTCCGAAGGGCGTATAATTAGGGGGGGAAAAAAAAGAAAAAAAAAAGGGCGTAGAACGGGTGTGCTGCTGCTTGACGAGAACGAAGCGCAGCCGTGCGGAACGCGGCGGGGAGAGCTTCTGCATGCTGAGAAATAAATGTACACGTCCTTCTTTTTTTTTTTTTTTTTTGTTCCCTTCCGGACAACACAATCAATGTACATGTCCTTTTAGTATATCGTGTAACAAACAAACAAACGGACAATCGAACGGACAGAAAAAAAAAGAAAAAAAAAACAGGAAAACATGTTATTTTTGCATGCATGTGTGGGGAAGCAGACGTTGGCCAGTGCTTATTGCTCTTCTTTTCTTCTCCTTCTCCTCCTCCTCCTCCTCCTCCTCCTCCTCGTTCTTCTTCTTCTTCTTTACGTTGGCATGAAGGCCGCCCCGCAGTGCGCTTCTTTTCCTCTTTTTTTTTTTCGGCTTTTGCTTCGTCCGGCCCACTTAGAGGAGGAGGAAAAAAAAAAAAAAAAAAAAAGAGGAGGAGGAGGAGGAGGAGAGGAGCGTTGACACGTGTCGCGCGGTCATGCTGCTCGTCCTTCATCTGCTTGCCACGTGTCCACCTGGCAAGTGGAAGGTTGTGATTTCGATCCCGTTCGCTGATCGGACAGTGCAGCTGGTCCACCTTCTTAGCCTCTGAGCTTTTCACACCTGTTGTCATCGTCTTGCTGTTTTCTTCTTCTTAGCCTGCCTTTAAAAAAAAAAAAAAAAAAGGAAAACACAATGTATGGTTGGGACCGCAATGGCTCGTTGTTTCCCCTCCTCCCCCCCCCCCCCCCCCCCCCCCCCCCCCCCCCCCAAAAAAAAAAAAAAAAAAAAACAAGGGGGGGGGGGGGGGGGGGGAGTGAGTGGGGAAGAATCATCAGGCAAGGAGTGGGAGAAGAGGAGGAAGAGGATTCGTTTTGAAGTATTTTTTGAACTAAGGAAAAACTGACAAAACAGAGGTGAAGGAGTAGACAGTGTGTGATGAGGAGGAGGAGAGGAGCGTAAGAGGAACGAGGACGACGAGAAGTACGACGATGAAAAACGGAAAAAGAAGAAAATATGAAAAAAAAAAAAAAAAGGAAGGATGAGGAGGCGAGGGCTCATGACGGCATTCTGCTATTTACTGTATTTATTAGTTTTAGGAAATATTTTCATTATTTATTTATTTCTTAAAAAAAGAAAGAAAAAGGAGGGAAAACGAGGACAGGGAAGGGGGTGCGGGAGGAAGAGAGCTGCGAGAAAGATGAGGGGGGTGCCTGCGTGGTGGCTGTCAGTTTTTGTAAACACGTAACTGCAGAGGAACAAATCAGAAGTTCGAATCCAGTCGGATTCTAAGCGCTTTTTGAAGAAAGGGATGAAGATGACCCGTTCGATGAAAGGCCCACTTATTCGTTTCCCTGTCCTCCCCCTTCTCACCACCTCTCTCTCTCTCTCTCTGTGTGTGTGTGTGTGTGTGTGTGCGTTGCACAATAGAGATCCCCACATCCCCACGTACCTCTGTGTGTGTGTGTTGCACAATAAAGATCCCCACTTTCCCACTTCCCCAGGCCCTCTCTCTCTCTCTCTCTCTCTCTCTCTCTCTCTCTCTCTCTCTCTCTCTCTCTCTCTCTCTCTCTCTCTCTCCCCTTTCTTCGCCGTCTTGCTCTCTGGTTTTCTCGTTCATCGTCTTCTTCTCCTCTCCTCGGTTTCTGCTGTTGCGTTGTTTTGTCTCTCGTCTGTGTGTGTGTTCCCCCGGGACCATAGATCGGAACCGATTCAATGAACCAATAAATCGATCAATCAATCGGTTGAAGTTCTGCTTGCCCTCTGATCGATGCATCAATCCAGAGCGATCGATCGATCAATTAATTGCTCCACCAATCAATCAATCAATTAATCAATTAATCAATCATGCAATTAATCAGTTGATCAATCAATGAAGCGCTTGAAATCCTTCTGATCGTTCGAATAATGTAGAGTTCGAGATCAATCGATCGATCATTAAAATCGATCCATTACATCGACCAATCAATCAATCGGTTGAAATCCAACTCACCGTTCGATTAATGGATATATCGACATAGATCGATCGATCATTAAACTGATCAATTTATGAACTGATAATTTAATTGAATAGATTGATGACTAAATTGATCCGCATACTAATGTTGAATTGAATTGAATTCGTAAATTAATGAGTTTAGGAATTAATCTCGATCGATTGGAATCTTACTGACCGTTCGATCGATGCTTAAATTGAGATCAATTGGTCTATCAATCAATCAATCAATCAATTAATAAATCAATCAATCAATAATCAATCAATCAAATCGATCAATCAGATCAAATCAATCAAGCAATCAATCAATGCCTTCCCTGGCCTCCCCCGTTAGCAATCAACCAATCAATCAACCTATCAATCAACCTATCAATCAACCCATCAATCAATCAACCCATCAACCCATCAACCCATCAATCAATCAATCAATCAATCAAATAATGCCTTCCTCCGCTCTCCTTCCCACTTATCAATCAATCAATCAATCAATCAATCAAATAATGCCTTCCTCCGCTCTCCTTCCCACTTATCAATCAATCAATCAATCAATTCCTTCCCTGTCCTCCCCCATTAGCAATCAATCAATCAACCACCCAACCAATCAATCAATCAATCGATCAATCAATCAATCAATCAACCAATCAATCAATCAATCAATCAATCAATCAATCAATCAATCTGTCAACCAATCAACCAATCAACCAATCAATGAATAAATCAATCCATGGGTTATTTTAATAATTCGTTAAATCGGCTACTCGATTACTCGATCATAATCGCTCGACCAATTCAGCCACTCGTTGAATTAGTCACTCAATCCAAGGACTCAATCTAGTTACTCGATCCAATCAGTCAATCTAATTAATCAATCGAAGCGGTCAAATCTAGCTAGCTACGCACTCTACGCACGAGGTTTTGTATCAACACAGTCAATCAATCAAAGATCGGGATCTGGTCGCTTAACTGAATTATTGATCTTTTTTTTTTTTTACTCAATTAATTATTTTAACTGCATTACTGAGCTAATTACTCAATTAAGTAATTAATTACTCCATGAATGATTCCTGCAGATTGCTCATTCACAACGGCACTTTTTTTTTTTTTTTTTTTTTTTTGATGAATGAAGTGGGGATGACGATGCAATCCGTTAATCATGCGTCTATGCAACTTCTCTCTTAGGGCCTCGCCGCACCACTCACGAAGTGTGCAAAACGAGAATGCATTTCCTGCTAAAACGTGGAAAGATGCATCTGTGAGTGTGCAAAACGAGAATGTATTTCGTGCTAGAACGTGGAAAGGTGCATCTGACGTGTTTTTGTCTTCTCCCCCCCCTTGGTGAGTGGTGCGGCGAGGCCCTTAGTACAACAACCAGGAGGAGGAGGTGGCATAGCAGTGCAGAAAAAAGCTATGAAATGAATGACCTGGCACTGCGAGGGTGACGTGGCAGTGTCGACGAGGTAGGATTCGAATGACGTGGCACTGTGAAGCTGACATGACTCTGCGAACCTGTCGTGGCAACGCGAGGCTGACGTGGCAGTGCGAAGCAGACGTGGCAGTGCGAAACTGCCGTGGCAGTGCTGGCAAGGTCGGTGAGGTGGGAAGAAAATGACGTGGCACTGCGAAGCTGACATGGCAGTGGGATTGAATGACACGTGGCACTGCGAACGTGATTTGGTACTTTTGGAAGTGAATGACGTGACACTGATGATGAGCATAATGATGTGTCGTATAGGATGATGTGAAATTGCCATCTGATGCATGGATGGATGGATGGATGGATGGATGGACTTGCAGGTGGAGAATCTCTCTCTCTCTCTCTCTCTCTCTCTCTCTCTCTCCTGTCTCTTATACACATCTAGATGTGTATAAGAGACAGAGATAGAATGAAAGTCTGAATGAGTTTATGAAATGTTTT